GAAGCGGGGAGGGGAGGGTGAAGGGAGAATCACGTGACATACAGTATCACATCATACCACATCCACATGTCGCATATAACATGTAACATATCAACATAAAACATACTATAACATGTCAAATCATATCAAGTGCGATTACAAGACCAAACGCACAATCAGACTCGCTCGAAACTCGCACTCCGCACTCTGCACTCAGGCTACCGATCCGCGTGCTCCCTGAGAAGGTGTGGCGACCTAGAATTCGGACCTGAACCAAGGTGTGCATTGCCAATGCCAATGCCAATGCGGCGCCACGGACACGCACGACACACAGACAGCTGGAGGGCCACCCTCCGGGCACAGGCGGGGGAGGAGGAAAATGAGCAGGAGGACGGAAGGCGGGAGGGAAGGAAGGGACAGGAGGGAGGAAGGGAGGGAGGGAGGGAAGGAGGGAAGGAGGAGGGAGGGGGAGGGAGAGATAGACAGGGGGGGGGAGGGATCCAGAGATCGAGACTCTCGTCAAGGCCCCGCGCCAGCCAGCCGCCACCCCCCAGACCGCCTATTCTTGGCGCAATCATTGCCCTCTTCGCTCATCAGCAAGTTCGCCTCGATGACGCTCGCAATAAAATTGCGACGGCACTCTGCGTCGGAAGTGCAACAGCCGTTTTCATAATGAGTTAGGCGTGCGTTCCTAATGTCACCGTTCACGAAGTGCAACAACTTGTCTCTCACCGCCTGCCTCCTCTCCAATGCTGTATCCGAGAACGCGGCGGGCCCATCCAGGCCCAGGCTACCTCTGACAAACACCTGAGGGAAGGGCGGCGGGCACGCGGGCACACGGGGCAAGGGTGAGTCAGACAGCCAACGTGTTGAAACAAAACGTCGAAACCAAAACAGAAATTGAAATTTGAAATTTGGGCCTCCCCCCCACCCCCGACCCTCGAGCAACGACGCCGCGAGGTCTTTTGGAACGCCTCGCACGCGCCTGGTCCCGGAGCAGACATAAATCCAACACGCTTGACGCGCGCTCTCTCCAGCGGGGGTCCGGCTCGCCAACAAGAATGCTGAGGTCACTATTGACTAGGCGGGTGAGATGAGCAGCCAGACGATCCCTATGTGAAGTAATGGCCGTCACAAGGCCGATGGCGTGCACGTCCCCAACCACATCGTCCTCCCGGGTGGCCTGGGCCTGGGTGCAGTTCAACATGTGAACCATGCACCCGCCAGGGCCGTTGCTGTAGAGCACATTGGCGGGGAGCCGTTCCCTAACTTCGGCACTCTTGCGGATGTTCGACGTTGCTCTATCCTCTGGCTGATTGGCAGGGGGCCCGGGGAGAATTGAAATGGAACGGGATGGGTGGCGGGTGAGTAGGAGGAAGAGGATGGGGGATAGGGGTTCGCCAGAAACGGGGGGAGACCGGGAGGGAGGGGAAGGGAGAGGGAGGTGACGAGGGAAGGAAGGATGGCAGACCTGCAGACCCTCAAACTGACCCTCCTCGCCCCCCTCGTGCCTCCGTCCCTCCTGTCCCCTCGCACTTCCCTTTCCCTCCTTCCTCCTCCCCCTCCTCCTCCCCCCCGCCTCCTCCCCCTCCGTTGATTTGCAAACCCGCGTCCGGGACTTCGTGGTAGATCAAACACTTCATGCGGGCAGATAAGTTGATTATCTCGTCGATGCTCAATTCAGGCACTGCTTGTTCGCAGGCTGCGTATAGGCAGGACGCATTGCAACGTTCAAGCACGCACGGCTTACACACGACCTCATGATCGAAGTCTTCGTCGAAACCTGTATCTGTCAAGGCGCTGGGGACCGAATAGTGCAACGTGCACGTCTGGGCAAGAACCTGGAGAACACCAAAATGGATCCGAGCATTGCGATTCACCTGCAAATATTCACCTAAACGTACCGATTTCCATTTGCTGGCAGCGTCGTCCCACAACAAATAGCGAGCGTGTGGCATAAGTGTCTCAGCCAACCTCCCGAACCTAAGCACGAGCGGCGTAGCGTCAGGATGCCTACATATCATAGCACAATCTGTACGCTCATGAAGCTTACTCATCAACTCTGCCAACTTTGACCGCTGCAGTTGGAGACCCGCTTGGGCCGTCACAAGGAGCATGCCTAACAAATGGGTCGACGACCCCAGGCCTTTAGACGCGACACCTCCACCTCCGGCGAGCTGCTGGAACGCGGATCTCAACACACCATCTGGGATGTACGTGTTAGGGTGCCGGCGATTGTCTGTTCCTCCACCTTCTCCTCCTCCTCCGCCGAATACCTCCTCTGCTGACAAGGCGTGTTCCCCCTCCCGGAGCGTGGTAGCCGCGCCCCACGCCGCTGCCAGCCCGGCGTAGGCGGCTTGCTGCGGCGATACTGGCGGTGGCTTGCCTCCCACTCCCAACATGAGGATGCGGCGGCGACCGCGACGACGAATGACGGCGACGACGAAACGACGATGACGCCATGAGAACGATGGCGACGATGGACGGCGACGCTGACGACGACGACGCACGACGGACGACGACAACGAACGATGACAGTGAAGACGACGATGACAACGACGGTCGAGAGCGGACGACAAAGACGACGATGACGGCAACGGGTGAGAACGACGACGGACGGCGACGACGACGACGACGACGACGCACGACGATAAACGATAACGATCAACGACGGCGAAGACGACGATGACAATTCACAATTCAACAATCAATAACGGTCGAGGGTGGACCACGACGTCGGCTACAACAACGACGACAACGCCGACCGACTTCGACGACGACGGCGACGACGACAACGCAGACAACGACGACGACGACGACTTTTTTGGGGCCCTCCGCGGAGTTCCACGTCGTCGTCGTAACGGCGTTGTCACCGTCGTCGGCGTCGACCGTCGTCTTCGTCGCCGTATTCCCTCTTTCGTCCTGCCTCTGCTGTATAGTTTCCCCATCTCCATCTCAGCTCCCATCTCATCTCCCATCTCTCCGCTTCCCTCTTTCGTCCCTACTCCTGCTCTCTATCTTTCCCTCTCTCTCCGCTTCCCTCCCTCTTCCTCCTTTCTTCTCTTTGGTAACCCTCTCTCCTCCTTACCTCTTCCTCCTGGCCTCCCCCTCCCTCCGCCCAACCCGCCTTTGCCGCGGCCCTTGCCGCGGCCATCGCCGGCGCCCGCGCCAGCGGCGCGGGCGGCAAACGCGGCGAAGCCGCGCGCGAGCATGAGCCCGCTAGAAGGAGGGGAGTAGGAAGGGGTTGGCAGAGGAGGAGGGGAAAGGAAGCAGGAAAGGAAAGGAGGAAGAAGAAGGGAAGCGGAGAGAGGAGAGGAAAGTAAAGCAGGAGCAGGGAGGAGGGAGGTAAGGTGGGGGGGGCAAAAACAGGGAGGGAAGAAGGAAGAGGGGGAGGGAGGGAGAGAGCAGGGAGAGGAGCGCAGTAGGAGGAGGAAGGAAAGGCAACCATCCCAGCCCGCAGCTGTTACCGATGCCGCTACCAGAAGAAAGAGGAATAGCGTCTCCTCACTCCCCCTCCTCCTCCGCCGCCTCTTCGCAAACGCTCATAGGGTCCAGCGCCGTCGACAGTCGCGCGAATAGCTGCTACAATTCGACGACTAGGTAATCTAATTAAACGAATAAGCGATATCAATAACATAACATATAATAATATATGGTACGTATAAGCGAATATTTCTCCGAATAAAATGATTTTATTAAATAATTTAAATCCTGGATATGGATTAGCAGCGCATCTGAAGCGGTCAATCTATAGGGCTGTCCCCGGCGGTGTGCCAACGACTCCGCGCCCCTCGCAGCCCGCCCGCGGGACGCCCCATCATGGCGCGGGACATGCGGGCAGTGCTCTGGACGCCCGCCGGGGGCTGCGCACTCTTCTTCTGGGCCTCCGCTCGGGTTGCCATGATGCGGGACGGGCTAAGGGCCAGGGACCGCGGGAGCGGACCATGGGGAGAGGCCGCCGCCGCGGGGCCGGCGCTGTGCAAGTCGCCCCGTGGCAGCCGCGTACCCCCAGAATCCCCTACCCCCTGGCTTCCACACTGCCCCGGGCCGCCCCCCGCGGGCCCGCGCGGGGCGCGCCGGGGACTGCCCGGGGGGCCGACGGGGATCGGGCCTGGCGCGAAACACCCCGGTCCGATCCCCGCCGTGCCCGCTGGGCTGTCCCGGACGCCTCGCCGCCAGCCGCGCGCAGGGCCTCCCGGGGCCACCGGGCGCCGCCTTTGGCCCCCTCGCATTGCCGGAGAGGGGAGAGGGGGGGGGGAGAGGGGTAAGGAGGGGGAGGAGAAAGGGGGGGGGGCACGGGAACGGGGGGGGGAGGGCGGGGCACCGCGGGCCAAGGGGGGGAGGGCGGGGCACCGCTCCTGCTCCTCCCTCTCCTCCTCCTCATCCTCCTCTTCCTCATCCTTTTCCGTCCTCCCCTCCTCCTCCTCTTCCTCCTCCTCCTCCTCCTCCTGTCCTCCTGTCCTCCTCCTCCTCCTCCTGTCCTCCTCCTCCTCTTCCCTGGCAGTGGGCCAAGGGGGGGAGGGCGGGGCACCGCTCTGCTCCTCCCTCTCCTCCTCCTCTTCCTCCTCTTCCTCATCCTTTTCCCGTCCTACCTCCCCCCTCCTCTTCCTCCTCCTCCTCGCCGCCTCATGATCCTCCTCGTCCTTCGCTCCTCCTACTCTTCATCAACATCTCTCCTTCTTCTTTCTCTTATAATTAATTATTCCTCCTCCTCCTCCTCCTCCTCCTCCTCCTCCTCCTCCTCCTCCTCCTCCACCCTCTACTCATCCCCTCATCTCCTCCCGCCCCTCTCCTTTCTCCCCTCCCTCCTGCTCCTCCACGTCCTCCTCCTCCTGTTCCTCCTCCTCCTCCTCCTTCTCCTCCTCCTCTTCGTCCTCCTTCTCCTCCTCCTCCTCTTCCTCATCCTTTTCCGTCCTCCCTCCCTCCTTCTCATGATCCTCACCTGCATCACGATCATAATCACCATCACCACCACCACAGGCACCACCGTCATCGCCATCGTCAGCAGGGCAGGGGCGGCGTCCTCATCCTCCTGCTGGTACCTGGCGGTGCACCTCTGCGCGTGGGGCCACCAGGAGCGAACCGTGGACAGCATGCCGCCGTTGTCCTCCCGCTTTCAGAGGCATCGTCGTCGTCGTCGCCGCCGTCGTCGTCGCAGCTGGTCGGCCTCGACGTCGTCACAGTCGTCGTCGGCGTCGTCGTCGTCCGCCGTGCGGCTGCGGCGGTGGCGGCGGCGGCGGCGGAGGCGGAGGCGGCGTCGCCATCGCCGTCGCCGTCGCCGTCGCCGTCGCCGTCGCCGTCGCCGTCGCCGTCGCCGTCGCCGTCGCCGTCGCCGTCGCCGTCGCCGTCGCATTCGCCGTCGTCGTCGTCGTCGTCGTCGTCGTCGTCGTCGTCGTCGTCGTCGTCGTCGTCGTCGTTCGTGGTTCGTCGTGCGGCTGCGGCTGCGGCAGCGGCGTCGTCGTCGTCGTCGTCGTCGTCGCCGTTCGTCGTGCTGTCGTCGTCGTGAACGTCGTCGACGGGGAAGCAGCGGCCGAGGAGCGACGCTCGAGGAGCGGGGCTTCCAGGCCCCTGCGGAAGCATCCTGTGGGCCTCCAAGGGGGGCTGCCTGGGACAGCCGGAGAGCTCTGGAGAGCCTCCCCCGCCCCCCCCTGCGGGGGTGCTCCCTCGTTCCTCTCCTTCGCTGCAGAAAGGCAGCTCGCGATGACGACGACGACGACGACGAGAAGGAGACGACGACGACGACGAGGAGAAGGAGACGACGACGACGACGACGACGACGGCGATGGCGCCGATGGCGACGACGACGACGACGACGACGGAGCAGATTGGAAGAGGGACGACGCCGTGGAGAACCTGCTCGCTCTGGCCTTCTTCGCCTCCTCCCCGGCAGTGGGCTCCTCCTCCTCCTCCTCCTCCTCCTCCTCCTCCTCCTCATGTGTTGTCCTCCTCCTCTTCCTCCTGTCCTCCTCCTCCTCCTCCTCCTCCTCCTGTTCTCCTGTCCTCCTCCTCCTCCTCCTGTCCTCCTCCTCCTCTTCCCTGGCAGTGGGCTCCGAGACCTCTCCCTGGAGCTCGCTCGAGCGAGGATCTCGAGGCGTACGTTCGCCGCGGGGCGCGCACCCTCGACAGACTCCACACAGAGGCCAAGCATCCGAAGCATCAGACTCCGTTCTATCCTCCTCCTCCTCCTCCTCTACTCCTCCTATCCTCCTCCGCCTCCTCCTCCTCCTCCTCCTCCTCCTCCTCCCCCTTCTCCTCCTCCTCCTCCTCCTCCTCCCCCTCCTCCTCCTCCTCCTCCTCCTCTTCCTCCTCCTCCTCCTTCTCCTCCTCCTCATGTCCTCCTCCTCGCCTTCTGTCCACGTCGCCCTCTTTGTTCTCGTCGTAATCTTCGTCCTCGTCGCTCTCCTCCAACCACTCTCTCTCTCTCTCTCTCTATGTCCTCGTCACCATCTTTGTCCTCGTCGCCCTCATCCTCTTCGCCCTCTTTGTCCTCGTAACCAGATTCGTCATCGTCGCCCTCCTCCTCCTCCTCCTCCTCCTCCTCTTCCTCCTCCTCCGTGTCCTCTCTGTGCTCGTCGCCCTATTCGCCCTCCTCGTCCTCGTCGTCGTCCTCCTCCTCCTCCTCCTCCTCGCCCGCGTCGCCGTCGTCGTCGGCAGCGTCGTCCTCGTCGTCCTCGCCGTCCTCCCTCCCGCGCGCGGGCTCGGGGGAGGAGGTCCTCGCTGAGGTCGCGGGTCAGGCCGCCCAAGGTCTGCGTGGCGCGGAAGAAGATGAGGATGTCGGCCGGCCAGCCCTGCAGGGGGTCGATCTGCTGGTACACCCTTTTGCGGGGAAGGTCGTCGTCGTCGCCGTCGTCGCTGTCGTCGTTGCAGCAGGGGGAAGGGGATTAGGAGGAACATGATGACAAGCGGGGGCCAGGAATCCTCCGTGCTTCTTCTCGATATCGTCGGACATACGCCCCGCTCCCAAGGGGGCCCGTATTCCTTGACGCTAGGAGCCTGCGTGGAAACAGGCGCCAAAGAAACCGACGGAAACTGCATCCATCCCCACCTGTGGAGGTAGGTCGAGCAGCAGGGACACGGTCTTCCCGATGTGGATACTGGTTGGTCTTTCAGGGGGCCGATCTGCCGGTACACCTCTTTTTCTGGGGGGGGAGGGACAGACAAGGATCGGGGATCGAGGATCGAGGGATCAGGATCGAGGGTCGAGGTTCGAGGGATAGACGATCGAGGACCGATGGATCGAGGATCGAGGGGTCGAGGGTCGAGGGTCGAGGGTCGAGGATCGAGGATCGAGGGGTCGACGGGTCGAGGTTTTTCATGCGCCGTAGAGCTCTTGTGGACCTCCCAGAGACGCTTCTCGTGGCCGTTGCTGGCTTCGCCGTGGAGCAGACCAGTGGAGCCGGGGAGGAGGACAGACACGCATCGAGGAGCGAGGGTGCTGGCTCGAAAAGGAGGGATCAAAGTACCATTAACCCTTTGGGAGGGGCCTAAGCCAGGAGGGTCAAAAACCTTAGGGATAGAGGG